AAACAAACCGCAGCGCCGCCCCGGTGGCTAGGCGGGGAAACCCGCAGAAAGAAAATGGCCACCAGAAAAAGGAGCCGTGACCGATGCAATAGATCCGAAAACACGCCAGCAAATGTGGGAAGCAAGCAGATGAGAGGGACAAAAAACCCCGCCCAGAAGCAGAAGACCCAGGCAGGGGCAAACAGCCCCAGAATTGCTAATGGGCATTCCCCACAGCCCCGGGAACCCGCAACAAAAGCTCCCGGGGCAAAGCCGTTCTCCACACCCCTCTGCCCTTAAAGAAAAGGAAGAGACCAGAGGAAAGGCAGCAAAGAAAGGGCCGCTGGTTAGACCCAGAAGCTTCGGCAGGAGGAACAGGCTCGAAAACCTCCGTCCCCAACCTGAACGGGGCAGCCCCTAAAGCCACTCAAGTATGAGCACCAACGAAACCCCGCCCCGACCCCAAACCCCGCAGACAGTCAGGGGCCAGGAACAGGGAGGGGGGAAAGGGGCGAACAACACCTAACCAAAACGGAGCGACCCCAGGGCATCCAGGTGGGAAACCAACCTAGCGCATTGCAGCTTTGTTACATATTTTAACCAAAACCAAGCCTGCAACGCAGATGCCGCCTGTACGAGTACTCTGAACAGTAAGGACATCAAAAGAGTACTGGAGAACAGGCAGAGAACACATCTCGCAAGACTCCGGGTCAAGGTGTCAGTGACTCAAAAGGCAGCATGACAGAGGTAAAAGAGGAGACTGTCACCCTGAGACAAGGGCACAGCAACCAACGAACCTGCACAAGATGGGTAAGAACCCGGAAGACACATCCAGTGGTTCACCGAGCCCCGACAAGGTTTTCCAGGGCCCGTAGGCTGACTGCTACGGGAAGCCCGGGCAGGGTGTTGCTAACCGGTTAACACCCAAAACTAACAAGGGGTAGATGCTAACACTGAAAACCCGTGCGACGTGCACAATCACTGGGGCCTAGCAAAGGGCCAACAAACACTACCAATGGAACTATAGCCACACTGGGCAAACCCCCACCAGGCAAATGAAAATAAAAACAAAAGAAAAATCCCGCAAAAGTACACCGTCCCCAGAGGCAATAGGAACCGGTCGCCGCGTAGGTTAAAGGTCGCGCAAAACCTTGATGCCCTAACCAGCACAATACCAGTCCCTGCCCAAGGCCAAACAAGGGCCCCAAGCCCCAGTTGGCCCCAAGGGCAAGGCAAATGCCGAGCAGCAAGAACCTTTACGAGAATGGTTCCCGAACGCCCCAGGGAAGATAACCCGGTCACGCAGAGGCAGTACTCACAGGGCGCTTAGGGAAGGAAGCCCCTAAGCGCATGCCGCCCCGCTAGTGATGAGGAACACCTGGCCACAGCACAACACAAAACACGGCAGCGAGCGTGAAGTAACCAGTCCACTCATTAGAAAGTGGAAAACAGTCATGAATTTTTTTTCTACTAATATAATTGGAGCGAGTTCAAGAAAACTAGAACTGTGGCAATTGAATTTGAAATAAGTTTATTGAGGTAACCAATTGTGGCAATGGTGGAAAGAAAACTTGGAGAATGAGCTATCTTGAGAGTCTCTTAAGGTTACTTGAGACAATTTTGGGGCATAGCGTCCCCGCAGCCCGGTCCTCAACCAGGCCTCCTATTTGTTACACACCCCCAGGAAGCAGCCCGTAGTAGCTGTCTAACTCCCAGGAACTTATTTACTGCTAGGTAACAGGGGCATCAGGGTGAAAGAAACTCTACCCATTTTTGTTTCTGCCTCCACTGGGGGATCGAACCCAGAACCCCAGGACTATGAATCTGAAGCTCTGTCCACTCAGCTGTCAGGCCCCTTACTCAGCTGTAAGGTCCCTTACTGGCATTTCAAGCTGGCATTTCTTTCTAAATGAGATGGATTTCTCAGGCAATTTAAATATGAGACGAGATAAAAAAGAGAGAAAAGGACGAGGTGTAAAGTACTTGAGAAAGAAGAATATCTTTAGAAGAAATTGTGATATTTCGGGTTACGAGTCCGATTTGTTTGGAAAATTTTAATCAGGACACGAACTTTGCATCAGGTTACGAGTTTGTTGATATGCATACAGCCAGCCTAGCACGTGATGGCACGGCGATCGCGCCTCAGTTTAACAGTGCCTCGCGCCCAGTGACTATCCCGCCTGAATTCTTCACAAGAATTTAAACATTTTTGTTGGATTTTTTGCCATTTGAGCATAAAAGTTGTTATTATATATCTAGCAATGGGTCCGAAGAAAGCCAGTGATAAGGTTCAAGGCAAGAAATCAAGAGGCAGCTGAGGATATTTCTTCAGAGGAGGATGAGGTAGTAGAGAATGTCCTATCCTCAATAATTAGGAAGTGGTGTAAGATGTGGGAAGAAATGCAAACTTTTATTGAAACAACTCACTCAGAGAAAGCAGGACCTAGTGGTATGCAGGCAAAACGTGCCAGAGAGTGCACTCCAGAAAAATCTTCACTGCCTGATGTTATAATGGAAGGGGACTCCCCTTCCAAACAGTAACACCTCTCCTCCTCACCCTCTTCCATACGCCAACAGGAGTCATCAGCAAGGGTAAGTAATAACTTGAACATACTTTTGTAGTGTAGATTTGGGTGAATTAGATATAAAATTTACTTTGAAGTGTAGTTTTTGGGGAGTCAGGAACGGATTAATTAATTTCCGATTATTTCTTATGGGGAAATTTGCTTCAGTTTACGAACTGTCTCCAGGAACGGATTAAATTCTTAAACCGAGGTACCCCTGTACTTGGAATTGTGTTAATTATTAACTGATATCTAAAATAATGAAAGCATTTAATATACTGTACTTAGATTGTGGACACTGTTCTCTTTCTATATATATTTATCAATGTGATTGCACCATACTGTATACAGATGTGCTTCTTCACTACATTTACTACTTTTGGTTATTATTATATTTTTTTTGAGTCAACAAATAATGTATTTTAATTTTTATGAAGTATAAATAACCTGTGTGGAATGTAATGAAATGCCTCTTTCTGGTGGGTTCTTGGTGGTTCTTCGTTGCAAGTTACCTGGATAACTACTCCAATTCAATCAACGCCAGGCTTTTCTGAGTCATTATAAGCCTACCGAGGATCAGAAGCCAAAATCTGGCTTCTGAAGTACTGTGCACTATTCCAGTGTACCCATGTAGTGACCAAGTGGAGCTTGGGGATATATATATATATTTGATTGTTAGGAGAGTCCAAGTTTTGGGACTTAGTAATATCTTTGTCTCGTTTCAATAGTGTGTACAAATTACAACCATGCTCCTAATATTCTGATTTATTAATTGCTGAAGCCTTTTCCCCGAGATTAAGATCCTAGCTTCTTGTATGAAATGGTACAGTGCCCGAAGCCAAACCCCACCAAGAGGAAACACTATTCAGGAAAAGGAAGAACTCCCACACAACTACACGAGCCAAAGACGGGAAACCTGGGTGCTCTCCACAATAAGCCAGACCCACACATCCAGGCTTACCAGAGACTCAAGCAGAATGGAGAGACATCATCCAAAATACCCAGATCAGACCCAGACAAGTCTAGACACATGATTAAAGCAATTAGGACCTTCGACAATTCACCAGAACCCAGAACCTGGCAAGATGGGAAGGATCAGAACCTTGGCTTTCAGACACAAAAACCATCCGTTAAGGCAGGTCAGAAGCAGAATACAAACACTGAAAACAGCCTATGGGAGTTGGTAGTTCGTGAGAGTGTGAGGATGCCAGAGAATGAGCATGTAAAGACTCTTATTCTACAATTAAAAAAAAAAATAATCTGCTTCCCTCTACAAAGTCTCATAGAAGTCAAACAGGAGTGCACTGCAAAGAGTGAGGCCCTTTCCACCGGGAGTCAACCTTTGGAAAACAGCCACCCAAACCCACCGGAGAAGGCAACCCTGGCTGGGCAAGGGCAACACCAGCAAATACTCTAGGCACATGCAGTTTGAGTTGAACAGATAATTTGTTACACTCAAAAGCGAGGTATAAAAACATGCATCATGAAGAAAATAGTAAAAAACATTGCAAATACAAATTCACAAGGGCCGTGACGAGGGTTCAAACCTACGTCCAAGAGGATCCCAGACGTGCCTTAATCGACTGAGCTACAACATGGTATAAGAATTGCAACTGGAAAATCAACTTGACCTACCACGGATCCTGCAGTCTCTCCGAGACATAAACCAGGTTTTTACACAATTCCCCATGCACCCGAGCTCTCCCAATAAGCTGTTCCACCTCCTCAATAAGCTGTTTTACAGCTTATTGACAGAGCTCGGGTGCATGGGGGAATTGTGTAAAATAGCTCAATCGATTAAGGCGCATCTGGGATCCTCTCTGACGTAGGTTCGAACCCTCATCACGGCCCTTGTGGATTTGTTAATTTAATGCATCATGCTATTGTGATTTCTGTGTGTAATTACAAATACGCAAGCACCTAACCCCGCAGGATGAACAGTATCCCGGACAGCCAACACTTAGTTAAATAATCGAGACTCGGAGAGATGACAAGAATGAGAAGAGTAATAGCGACAGCAAAGCAGTGCACACCAGGCAAATAAATGAAACGATCTAATTGAGAGATCGACAAGATAGGCACGTGACCACTAGCAGCGTTCAGGTTACGTATGGAGTGAAATTCTACTCAACCAGTGGTTCACATAATTCAGTCTTGCTTTCTTATTTTTTAGGATTTGTTTACCTTGCCGACTGTTAGTTTTGGCTCACCTTAACCTTTTCTTGGTTAGGGTAATCTTCTATCCTCTTCTCCTTGCTCTTATATAGAGAGTGTCAGGTTTAGACCTCTGGTCCACAGTAGGGTTATAATGACTCACAAGAGCCTGGCATGGATTAAATTGGGTAGAACTATCCAGGTGGCTATCAACAAGGAGCCACCATAGTTGCCCTTCCCACAGAAAACTATTATGGTATTTATATAAATGTTTAACTTTTATGGATTACTAAAAATATTAAGGAATACAGTAATGTTTAATATAGTTACTATACACAGTCTTCAATGTGTAAATAACTTATGCCAGTGTAAATTTAACCAACAATACTATTTGCTTTCCTTAATTCTAAGAGACCATTGACAATGTCCATTGGAAGGTCTCGAACTCTGTAGAATTCAGATGCATCAGCAAATCGCAGCTTAGTTAGAGGGTCGGTGTAGTTAGCCTGCAAGAGATAGACCATGACAATAATAATATACTGTACAAGTTATTATTTACTTACTACTTCACAACAGTTTTATCAAGGACCAAATCAATAAACATACTAACCCTTCTATATATTTACCTATATATTTAATTACCTGTGGAACATATTTAGGGAATTGTTAAAATATGTACTGTATGAACAATCCTATCAAATAATTTGTTTTAAACCACCGTGCTGCGCCGAGTTTATTGTGAAATTCCCCTTGTGCGCATAAAATAAAGTGTTCCAAAACATTCTTTTTTCTTCATAAAATGATAAATTCCCTTCTCTGAACATGTCTATGTAAAAATAAATACCAAATTCCACTTATTTGGCTGTGGGGACGTGGACAAGGTGCGCTGTGATGTCATCTGGGTCTGGTCGTCCGTGCATGAATCGGCCAGACACAGTCACGTGGGCCATTCAAGCACCGGGTGTTGCCACAAATATATTTTCAATTATTTGTTCTATGTATTTCCAATGCAGTTTTATTAGCTTTTTTATCATATATGATGCATATTTTTGTCCTTTACAATATGTATACAGTAGAACGTTTACAATGTTTCATGGAACTGTGATACATTTGTCAGTAATGTGTCCACAATAAATGTTTATTGTCGCAATATTACTTGTTAAAAATTCACTAAAATTACAATATGTAGTTTCACACACTATTTACACAGTAACACTGTATTACACCTCAGTACTTCGGAAGCGAGTAATAATCAACGAAGTAGTCTATGGTGCAAAGTGCTACTTCGCTCTCGTTGCATCAGGTACAGATAAATTTTTGCTTCCTGTTTCTTCATTCTGTGTGCTTGCAAATAACACACTCATGTACACCCTTGGCTTTAGTACTTGTAGGTTGTATGTAGCCAAGCTTGTAAAGCATAAGGTAGTATTGAAAAGATTATAGAAAAAGATCAATTTGTAAGGTAGTCTTGGAATGATCGCTTTGTCAGGTCCCACACAGAAAGAGATTCAGCTAGCCTCAGAGAGTGTCCGTCAGTCAGGAAGAGATTCAGGTATTCTTGAAAATATCTATAGAAAACACGACAATGGAAGCCACTAACACTGTTCATCTACCTTACCTTGAGGTTACCTTGAGGTGCTTCCGGGGCTTAGTGTCCCCGCGGCCCGGTCGTCGACCAGGCCTCCTGGTTGCTGGACTGATCAACCAGGCTGTTAGACGCGGCTGCTCGCAGCCTGACGTATGAGTCACAGCCTGGTTGATCAGGTATCCTTTGGAGGTGCTTATCCAGTTCTCTCTTGAACACTGTGAGGGGTCGGCCAGTTATGCCCCTTATGTGTAGTGGAAGCATGTTGAACAGTCTCGGGCCTCTGATGTTGATAGAGTTCTCTCTCAGAGTACCTGTTGCACCTCTGCTTTTCAACGGGGGTATTCTGCACATCCTGCCATGTCTTCTGGTCTCATGTGATGTTATTTCTGTGTGCAGGTTTGGGACCAGCCCCTCAATTATTTTCCACGTGTAAATTATTATGTATCTCTCCCACCTGCGCTCAAGGGAGTACAGATTTAGGCTCTTTAGTCGGTCCCAGTAATTTAGATGTTTTACTGAGTCGATTCTAGCAGTAAAGGATCTCTGCACGCTCTCCAGGTCAGCAATTTCTCCAGCTTTGAAAGGGGCTGTCATTGTGCAGCAGTACTCCACTCTAGAGAGCACAAGCGTTTTGAAAAGTATCATCGGTATAGCATCTCTAGTGTGAAAAGTTCTTGTTATCCAACCTGTCATTTTTCTTGCAGTTGTGACGGCTACTTTATTGTGTTCTTTAAAGGTAAGGTCTTCCGAAATGAGTATGCCCAGATCCTTTACATTGCCTTTTCGTTCAATGTTATGGTTTGCCTGAGTTTTGTACGTGGTTTCTGTTTTTATATGTTAAATTTTTCCGTAGCGCATGAGCTGGAACTTATCCTCGTTAAATACCATATTATTTTCTGTAGCCCATAGAAAGACCTGATCTACATCTGATTGGAGGTTTGCCGTGTCCTCTATGTTGCCAACTCTCCTGAAAATCCTAGTGTCATCTGCAGAGGATGATACAGTGCTATAGGTTGTGTTCTGGTCTATGTCCGATATGAGGATGAGAAAAAGTACTGGAGCAAGCACAGTACCCTGGGGGACTGAGCTCTTCACGGTTGATGGGCTGGATTTTATTTTGTTGACTATTACACATTGGGTTCTGTTAGTCAGGAAATTGTAGATCCATCTGCCTATTTTCCCGGTAATTCCTTTTGAACGCATTTTATGTGCAATAACACCATGGTCACATTTATCAAAAGCTTTTGCGAAATCTGTGTAAATTACATCAGCGTTTTGTTTGTCTTCCATAGCATCTAATGCCATATCATAGTGGTCCAGCAACTGCAACAGGCAAGAGCGCCCTGTTCTGAAACCATGTTGTCCGGGGTTATGGAGATGCTGTGATTCCATGTATTTTGTGATCTTACTTCTTAGCACTCTCTCAAAATTTTTATGATGTGCGATGTTAGTGCTATCGGTCTGTAATTTTTTGCCTCTGCCTTATTTCCTCCTTAATGGAGTGGTGCTATCTCTGCTGTTTTTAGTATGTCAGGGATAACGCCAGTATCTAGGCTTTGTCTCCACAGAATGTGAAGGGCCTGCGATAGTGGTTTTTTACAGTTCTTGATGAATATGGAGTTCCAAGAATCCGGGCCTGGTGCAGAGTGCATAGGCATACTGTTTATGGCTTCTTCAAAATCTAGTGGGGATAGGGCGACGTCTGATATATGATTTGATGTTGGTATCATATCCATGAAAAATTCATTTGGGTTATCAATCTTTAGTGCATTTAATGGCTTGCTGAAAACAGTCGTACTGCTTCCTCAGTAACTCGCTCATTTCTTTGTTGTCATCGGTGAAAGTTTCATCTCCCTTTCGCAGGGGCCCGATACTAAATGTGGTTTTTGATCTTGATTTTGCATAGGAGAAAAAATATTTCGGATTTCTCTCTATTTCACTGATGGCCTTTTGCTCTCTTTGCCTCTCCTGGGTTTTGTATGATTCTTGTAGCTTGAGTTCAATTGTTTCTATTTCTCTACCTAACCTTCTTCGCCGTTCTTGAGATAGAGTGCGACTCTCAAGTTGTTCCACGATTCGTTTTCTTCGCCTATATAGGGAACGACGTTCCCGTTCCAATCTGCATCTCTTTCTCTTTTTTCTTAGGGGTATGCGGTTTGAACATATTTCTAGTGCTACTGAGCTTATTTTTTCCAGGCACTGGTTCAGGTTTGCATTTTCTAGCTGTTCTTCCCAGTTTATTTCTGTGAAGCCCTGGTTTATTTGCTCCCAGTTTATCTGTTTATTATTGACGTTGAATTTGCTGAAATCTCCTCCACCAGGAATCTGGACTGGTTTTGAAGGTCCATTCCCCATGGTTGTCAGAACTTCAATTAAGTTGTGATCTGAGTAACAGGTATTTGTAATCATTATGTTCCCGATCAACTCATCATTATTAGTGAAAATAAGGTCCAGCGTGTTCTCCTTCCTAGTTGGTTCTACTATTTGCTGGTTTAAGGCAAACCTATCGCACATCGTAGCAGGTCATTTGCATGTAATTAACTAAGTGTAATTACCTAAGTGTAGTTACAGGATGAGAGCTACGCTCGTGGTGTCCCGTCTCCCCAGCACTCTTTGTCATATAATGCTTTGAAATTACTGATGGTTTTGGCCTCCACCACCTTCTCACTTAACTTGTTCCAACCGTCTACCAGTTCCAACCGTCTACCACTCTGTTTACAAAAGTAAATTTTCGTATATTTCTCCGGCAGCTTTGTTTCGTTAGTTTAAATCTATGACCTCTTGTTCTTGAAGTTCTGAGTCTCAGGAATTCTTCCCTATCAATTTTATCTATTCCTGTTACTATTTTGAACGTAGTGATCATATCGCCTCTTTTTCTTCTATCTTCTAGTTTTTGCATATTTGATGCCTCTAATCTCTCCTCGTAGCTCTTGTCCTTCAGTTCTGGGAGCCACTTAGTGGCATGTCGTTGCACCTTTTCCAGTTTGTTGATGTGCTTCTTAAGATATGGGCACCATACAACAGCTGCATATTCCAGCTTTGGTCTAATAAAAGTCGTGAACAATTTCTTTAGTATTTCTCCATCCATGTATTTAAAAGCAATTCTAAGGTTAGAAAGTGTAGCATAGGCTCCTCGCACAATGTTCTTAATGTGGTCCTCAGGTGACATTTTTCTATCTAAAACCACCCCTAGATCCTTTTCTTTATCAGAATTCTTTAAAGATTTCTCACATAATTTATAGGTTGTGTGGGGTCTATGTTCTCCAATTCCACATTCCATAACATGGCATTTATTCACATTAAATTCCATTTGCCAAGTGTTGCTCCATATACTTATTTTGTCCAGGTCTTCTTGAAGGGCATGACAATCATCTAAGTTTCTTATCTTCCCTATTATCTTAGCATCATCAGCAAACATGTTCATGTAATTGTGTATTCCCACTGGTAGATCGTTTATGTAGACAATAAACATTACCGGTGCAAGAACTGAACCCTGAGGTACTCCACTCGTGACATTCCTCCAATCCAATACCTTGCCTCTGATTATGGCCCTCATTTTTCTGTCAGTTAGGAAATTTTTCATCCATGTTAGTAGCTTACCTGTCACTCCTCCAATATGTTCCAGTTTCCAGAACAACCTCTTATGGGGAACTCTGTCGAAAGCCTTTTTTAGGTCCAGATAGATGCATTCAACCCAACCATCTCTTTCCTGTAAAATCTCTGTGGCTCGATCATAAAAACTGAGCAAGTTCGCTACACAGGATCTTCCAGATCGAAAACCATACTGTCTGTCTGATATTATATCGTTTTCCTCCAAGTGTTCTACCCATTTAGTTTTAATTATTTTTTCCAATATTTTGACTATTACACTTGTCAATGATACAGGTCTATAATTAAGGGGGTCTTCCCTGTTTCCAC